ACTAGTAAACCGTTACATGAATTCATGTGTGCTTCTAGCCCTTTAAGAAACATGCCCTGATTTGTTTGTTTTTAAAATATAATTTGTATTGATTTTAGAGAGGAGGGGAGAGGGAGAGAGATAGAAACATCAATAATCAGAGAGAATCATCAATTGGCTGCTTCCCACATGCTCCCTACTGGGGACTGAGCCCAAAACCTGGGCATGTGCCCTGACCGGGAATCGAACCGTGACCTCCTGGTTCATAGGTGGCACTCAATCATTGAGCTACACCGACCAGGTACCCTGGGTTGTTGTGTTGTTGTTGTTTTTATTGCTGTTTTTGGTGCCCCCAAATCAAAGTAGGAGCTCAGTAATAGCTGCGAATCAACAACATTTAGCCCTGCCAGTGTTGGCGAAATGGAGTCAGATGTCCTTGTTTTACAAGGTGGCTGTGAGAGTTGGAGGAGAGAATAAGATGGTGAGGTAGCATCCAGTCCAGCTCACTGGGGGCATTTCCACACTCGTCATCTCTCATCCTCAGGCAGCCAAACAGGCTCTCACCTTGGAGTCTCTGCCCCCTGTCAGAGAACAGCCTTCCCACAAGTACTCTCTCTCCTCAGTCTCATTTATTCAGGTCTCTTCTCAGAGGGGCCTTCTCCACCCCCCCCCCCCCCCGCAATCCCCCTCCCCCCCCCCCCCCCCCCCCCCCCTCCTAATCCCCCGTCACTCACTAGCTTCTGACATGACCACAGTCACAGTTCTCTTCATGGTACAAATTACCATCCCACGTTGTAGCATTTTACCTTTACTAATTCATCATTATTTCATGAAGGTTTGTAGGAACGCTGTCTATTTTGTTCAGGGCCCAACAAGTGATGGGCACTCATTCAATGAACCTCTGTTGAATAAATAACTAGTAGGTATTTAATCAACACTTTTTTCTTTTAAAATGTGGAGCATTTTCTAAAAGTCAAAAGAGGTATCTAGTCCAGAAGGGTGGAAGATGAGATGAAGGTTTAGGAACTAGGAACTTAGCAGAGGTCAGCCTAGGAGGGTAGCAAGAATCCAGGACACTTCGAAAGAGGGAGTTCGAACAAGACAGCCTACTGTGCATCTGACTCTGAAGCGAGGTGCGGTCAGGTTCAAGGCTTAGCCTCTGCATTTTGGGCGATTCGGCCTGTGACTTTGGCAGATGATTGGTTTCACTTAGTTCAGGGTTTCCTGGCCATTTTCATTCTTGTCTCCCTCTCTTCACCCCAGGGAAAAGATTTTAATGTATTTAAGTTAAAAATTAAATTGAATTCTCTTAACACAGAAATTAAATACTAAGGAGTAAGAGTTTTTTTTCCCCCAGATAGGACTGAGCTTTGTGAGGTAGGGCACTGACCTTTAGAATAGCTAAGACTTTTTCAGCCCCCCCATTCCCATCCTCGAACTAGTTTCCACCCCCTCGTGAGTAACATCTCCCTGTTGTGAGTGCACAAGTTAGCTGAAAGGGGACCCAAGAAAGTTGGTAGACATTAAACACAGTATCAATTACCTTAGTAACAGAAGCATTTATTTTGAATGCTAAGGCTGTCAGCTTCAGGCTACTCAACATTAATTTAAATTATCATGGCTGTTTGCTTGGGATGAGACTAACTGGAGAATTATAAATGATAGAAATGAGTGGGACCAGGCCTCGGACCTCCACGTCCACAGCTCTGCTCCCTGTTGGCGTGGATTGATCTTCAGGATGAGAGGCTTTGAGACCGTTGCGGGGTCAGCCAAACAGGGATGTCGGTATCTGTAACCATTTGCAGAGTTCTGTCCTTCTGTATCGTCTCTAGGTCAACGTTTTGTTCACTGGAATGTTTCGTGGATATTGTGGAAGAACCAGACTTTACATACTGTTGAAAAATTGTGCACCTTTTCTTATACCCTGAGTCATCTCAAATTATTGAGATGGATCGGAATAGCTCTACTTCCCTTGTTTATAGAAAATCCCAGGAAAAGCCATTTATAGAACAGGGGCCTGGAAGGATTACCGGAAAATTTCCAATTATAGGTATGGAGTTGAAAAGTTGTATAGCCCATGAACATCAAAGTAATGGCCAGTTTGGCTCAATGGATAGAGTGTTGGCCTGGGGACTGAAGGGTCCCAGATTTGATTCTGGCCAAGGACACATGCCTGGGTTGTGGGCTCGATACCCAGTAGGGAGGGTGCAGGAGACAGCCGATCAATGATTCTCTCTCATCATTGATGTTTCTATCTCTCTCCTTCTCCCTTCCTCTCTGAAATCAATCAATATATATATATTTTAAAGTAAAAGCTGCGGTCTTTGAGGGTGTCTGTACACTTGAAATAATTTTTCATTTTTCTGAAAACCCCTTCCCTGCCCTCACTATACTTAAGGCCAGAGGGTGGGCTTCTGGCACCATATGGGAATCTCATGACTCCACCCCCTTGGCCATAACTGGCTGGACGACAGATGGACAACTGCTCCAAGCTAAGCCAATTAGCTTTGTTCCTCTAATGTGTCATTTAACAACTTTCGAGTTTCAAATTATAGAAAACAACTCAAGGTAGCGTTCATTTTCATTAAAAGGTGTGGTTTGTTTTTTTTTAGTTCAGTTTTTCTTTACCATTTTTCTTTCTTTTAAGTAGTTAACTTTTAAAAATGGAATTTATTGCAAGGATTGATACGGTCTTTCAGATTGAGGGTCAGCACTGCATCCCCATCCAGGCTGGCTGCAGCTAAGACCAGGATGGCTACGGGGAACCAGAGCGCCCTCTTTCCCGAGCCTTGCACCTTTGCCTTCTACTGCTCAATTTTATTTCTTGGCAAGATGGCCCTTTTGCTACTCAGGTAACACAGCAGGTAGGATATTGGCATCCACGATCCCTCATTCACAAGTTATAGTTCTCACCACACACTTGAGACTAGACCCTTGCTCTCTAGGCCCTGGGACCCAGTTCTCAGAACAGAACTCTATTCCACCTGCATGAGATGCCCAGTTCTGGCCCCACCCCAGGGCTGGGGGCTGATTACGTGAACATGGCTGTAGGAGTGCACCTCTGTCAATTCTGTTAAAAGGGTTGTCATAGACTTATTACATGCTAGTTTCCATTTCTTTATGCATCCCCCCACTAGTCTATGGATTCTTTCAGGGCAACGAATTTGCCTTGTTGACAGTATATTCCTAGTGCCAAGATTAAGGCCTGGTTCTTAATTGATGTTCAACAAATATGTATTGAGTGAATACAAGTTGACATCAGGAAGAAAAAATTCTCGATTACTCTTAAGTTCAATTTTCTTCAATCAGATTTACTTAAAGGGTATCTTGCCCAAGATATTTACTCTGTTTTCATGTGTATGGAACTATTGGAACTGAGACTAACACCTTGAATGATAGACCATTAAAATTTGAATGTAAAGGATCTTTAAAAAATTGTTTGAAGTCATCAAGAGTCTGCAAGATGACAGGCACTGTGCCGGGGTAGGGAGTATGTTGTTGAAAACGACATGGTCACTGCATTTGAGAATCTCTCTGTGGCGTTTGAGAGACCTTAGAGATCACTTAGCTTAACTTTCTCATTTTACAGATGAGGAAAAGGAGACTTAGAAAGGTTGCTAGGCCTGATGGAAAATATTCTGACTTATTCATAGGATCTTAATATGTCTGTATGGCATTACTTTTCAGTGAGAGGTGTTACTTATTTTGGCCAAAGGGAACATTCCATTTTTGTGTATTTATGGATTATCTTTTATTTTATTTTTGCATTTCTTTTTAGTAGGCATGTGCTTATGTAGATGATATTTGCTAAACTTTTAATTTACTTGGAACCCATTAATAGCTGGCCCTCGAGTTCTCTGGAAAATCAACGAGACATTTCTTTATGGTTACTGAGTAATAAGGTTATTTATTATTGACATGGCTTCTGACACCTCTCCCATTTATTATTATTTCTTGTTAAATCATTTCCTGAGAAGGTGAAGAATGTTTTCCATCTTTGATGGCACAGTTTATATTGACTTTCTCTGGGTGAAAGTGAGGTTCAGAGAACAGAGTGAAAGGGGTCATTTTTCTGCATTTACAGGGGATGAAGGTGAAAATTTTCTTTGGTGGAGAAGAAGGATTGGTGATGAAATTCAATTAACCTTTCTTCGGGGCGAGGGGGTTGTGGGGGAGCAGTGATGTGCCCTGCACTGTGCAGGATTCAGTGGGGACAGGACAGTCCAGCCCTCTGCTGCAGCCAGCCCTGCAGGCTGGTGAGCGCATCATGCCACTAAGACCTGCATTCAAGGGCCAGCCAGGGAGGGGCTGAGTTTTTCACCCAGAAGCATGGGGAAACATTTCTCTGGAGGAGAAGGCTTTGGGTAGGTTGGTATTAACAGCTTTCCAACGGAAAAGAAGCAAGGAGACTAAGAGCTGTAGGATGCCAAGGGACAGGATGTCCTGTGGACCTTCGTGATGAAGGTGGAGTCAGTGGCTGAGCTCGGGACTGGTGCTGTCCTAGAGTCTCTCTGTGCGGTGGATTGTTATTGCTCCTCTCGGTAGCATTGTAAGAACATAGTTCTGGAATGGAGAGCCTCCCTGTGTATGCTGTGGATAGATCAAGGCAAATGGAGATAGATTTCAACTTCCTAGGAATGTAAGGTCTTAAATGTTTCCAGAACCCCGCTGCGATCTTCTATGTCTTGTCACACAGCCTCCTGTTGGATGTGAGCTTGATGGGGGTCGTCCTGGCAAAAGTCATCTCATTTCCCCGCTGGTCAGGGAAACTTCCTGGAGAAAGCCAGTGTTCCAGAGGTGTCTGTCTGAGGGAAGGGGGGTGTGTGTGTTTGTGTGTCTGTCTATCTATCTGTGTGTCTGTGTATACTGCGCGGAGGGAGCCCAGCTGGGGGATGGGGAGCGGCATTAAGGCTTCTGGCTCGGAAAGCAAACATTGCCTTCAGTCATACAAGAGGCCCTGTGTTCTGTGTGAGAAGGCCCACTGTTGTGACTGGAAGGAATTTTTTGTTTTTTCCTCTTCCAGGTGTGAATGAATCCGGCGGAGGCCATGCTGCCACTGATGAAGGGCTATCCCATTTCTGGGCCATTTGCACGGGCCCTGCGGTGATATGAACCAAGCGAAGACCTGTCGGAGGCTTCCTTCTGTCTCTCGCTGAGCACTCCAGCTGCAAAGATCATCCCACTGTCGGTGTGTGTCCTGTCCTCCTCTTGCTACAGCAAACAACCCCGTCTCGAGCCAGCACCCCCCCTCATCTGCCAGCATGAACATGAACACAGCCGATGACAGCCAGGGTCCCCAAGGGACGTGGGGCCCCGCGGGGTCCGGCCCCCAGGAGCAGGTCCTCTCATGATGCTGGTGTCTGGGAGTGAGCGCCATGCCCATCACGCAGGACAATGCGGTGCTGCACCTGCCCCTGCTCTGCCGGTGGCTGGAGAACAGCCTGCGGGAGGGCGGGGCGGGGCCGGAGCAGCGGCTGTGCCAGGCGGCCATCCAGAAGCTGCGCGAGTACATCCAGCTGAACTTCGCCGTGGATGAGAGCGCGGTGCCCCCTGACCGCAGCCCCCCGGGGATGGAGATCTGTACCGTGTACCTCACCAAGGAGTTGGGGGACGCGGAGACGGTGGGCCTCAGTTTCGGGAACATCCCTGTTTTCGGGGATTATGGAGAAAAGCGCAGGGGGGGCAAGAAGAGGAAGACCCACCAGGGCCCCGTGCTGGACGTGGGCTGCATCTGGGTGACGGAGCTGAGGAAGAACAGCCCGGCAGGGAAGAGTGGGAAGGTCCGACTGCGCGATGAGATCCTCTCCCTGAATGGGCAGCTGATGGTTGGAGTTGATGTCAGTGGGGCCAGGTAAGTGGCGGGGTTTCCTTCAATGCTAAATGTTTGCACATACCTTAGTAGGTGTCGTCCTGAAATGTGGTGAGCAGGAACTAGGGTTCTGTAGAGAGCCCGCATCAGCCAATGGTTCTCCTCCATTCACCCTTGCAGTTAACAGATTTCAGGGGTCAACACACCAACTTCCCACCCATCCTGCCAACATGAGAAATCATCCACACTATTACGTACGATCATAATATTAGGTGATCCGTTGGGCAATTCATTCTGATCCTTCTCTTGAGTTCGATTTTGAGTTCAGAACTATCTTAGATGATGTTATGTGTTGAACTGTGTCGCCCCAAAACTTATATGAAGAAATCCTAATCCCTGGTTCCTCCGCACATGGCCTTGGAAAGAAGGCCATTGCAGATTTAATTACTTAACATGAGGCCAGGTGGTAGGAGGATGGGCCCCTAATCCAGTAGGAGGGTGCCCTTATAAAAAGGGCAAAGACCTGCTCACAGGAGAAGATGTGTGAAGATGGGAGTTACGCTGCCACAAACCGAGGAACCCTCGGAAGCTGGGATCAGGGCCCGGAGTATATCATTCCCTGTCCCCCCAGAGGGAGCGTGGCTCCACCAACATCTTGATCTTGGACTTTTCGCTTCCTGAACGGTGAGACAATACATTTCTGTGGCTTGAACCACTCAGTTTGTGGAGCTTTTTTATGGCAGCCCTAGGGAACTAATACACCCGATGTTTGACCCTGTCACCTATGGCTTGTCAGCTTTTCCGTCAGTCTCCCCCCGCCCCCCATAAGAGTTACTCTGGAAACTAGAGCCCTGTGAATGTTTTTGGAAGAGAACATTGAAAATTGTTGTGTGTGTTTGTGTGTTAGCTGTGGGAGGAGCAGGTGCAAAATGTGGAAGATGAGGTCATGGTTTGTTTATTTTAAAAATTAGCTTAGGGTCAATTTGAAAAATTCTTCCCAGGGGAGACAACAGCATTCATAGCCATGGGTTTGGCATCCTTCTGTACCCCAGAGCCAGCTCCAAAGTTAAATCTGTGCCTGCCCCCAAGTCACAGACAATGCCATTGCTGCCTTGTCACTGGCTGAGACTCCTGAGGCCTGCAGTTTGCTTCCAGGTCCGCCAGTAGCTCTGAGAGCCCCTCATTTTTCGAGTGGAAACTGCATCGCTCTGGAGTGAACTTACAGAGAACTTTGGGGAAGGGGGAGGGATCTTAGTTATGTTTGATAGCACATGCTCCGTTTTGCAGGCATAGCTGGTAACACACAGAGCAAAGTTTTTGTTTGAGAGTCTATCACCCCTACCCTGGGGAAGATTGGCCTTTCTAGAATGCTCTGTTTACTTTTGTTTGGTGCAGGGAGAACGGGGAAGGCTTTTTAAGATTAGATCCAACTAACACTTTATAGCCTAGTCCCTCCCTCCCTCAGCTAGCTTTCTATAAGTACACCCGCTCTGTTCCCAGAGGACAGAGTGTTCCAAATTGGTAACAAAATGTGGAATTAATTAAAACAACCCACACATGAAAAACAAGTAGCCTTTTCTGAAAAGTAAAAGGGCCCATGTTTCACTTAAAATATATTTTTCAGGATGTGACCCTTGACTGGACTTGCTTGTGCGTTCATAAACTCGGGCAGAGGGCAGTGCAAAGTGCATGCCACAGAGGAGTGGACTTGGCTCCCGGACCCACTTACTGGCCATGTGAGGGGCAGGTTTCTCAGCTACGGAGGCTGATGCTATTCCCCAACAGGGTCCTTCAGTGGATGAGATAAGGTGACTTATATAATGTACCGACTAGGCATCTGGCACATGGCAGGTTTTCAATCAAAGGTAGCTTTGTAAAAATATATGTTTTATGAAAAAAAAATATATGTTTTTATTGATTTCAGAAAGAGAGACAGAGAAACATCAATGATGAGAGAGAATCATTGATTGGCTGCTTCCTGCATCTCCCCCACTGGGGATCGAGCTCGCAACCCGGGTATGTGCCCTGGCCTGGAATCAAACCGTGACCTCCTGGTTCATGGGTTGACGCTCAACCACTGAGCCACACCAGCCAGGCAAAGATTTTAACACCCAACCTGGTTGGCAATATAATGGTGAAAAGGCCTTTGAGTTTGAGGGACAGAGAAGAGCTTCTAACCCTGGCAATTCACTGAGCAGGAGAGAATAATCTTCAACCCAGAAACCAGGCTGATGTTCCAATATTGAGCAACCAGTATGGCGTGGGTACTAGCCAATTGGAAAGAATGTCAGCACATGCAAGAACCGGTTTCTGGGCTGTCTGGAGGGCCTGGGGGCTCAGGGTGATTGGCCAACTGGTCTAGAAGCATTGCATACTGGGTGGACTAGCTGAAGATCAGCCCTGGCCAGAAGCAGTCTTCAGCACAGGACCCACTGGCTTTAAATTGTGTGTAAAATTAAATTTAGGGTTGTTACAAGCTCAGGCCCCGGTTACCCATGGCAACCTTGAGTTCTGTCTAGGTTATAGCAGACTTAAAACCCAGTGTCATGAAGCTGCTAGAAGGTGTTACTTGGAGAAATGACTGCAGGTGGTGAGGTAGGAGATGGAAGAAAGGAAGGATTGCCAATTATTGCTTTTTAATATGGTCTCTGGGGCCATTTAGCAGGAGGGTCCTGCCTACCTGCACATGCCCAAAGGCACCAGCGCTCTCTTCAGGGGGAGGTCTTGCTGTCGCTGTTAGAGGGCTACCCATTTCCAGTCATTTGCATGTAGTTGTAGTAAGAAGTGGTCATCATGATGACCTGGAGATAGTCAGGAAAGGTTAAATGATGTTTAAGAGGCCAGAGAAGCATGTAATACACTTTAGGAGGATTTCCATTACAAAAGGTTAAAGGAAAACCAGTTTCAGCCTTTAAAATTCAATTATCTGGAAAACTCGTCATGTGGAACAGCCCATTCCCCAAGGGTGCTGTGCAAATGAAGCGTGCAGACCTTACACATGTGCCCACTGCATGCTGCTCAGCCTGCTCTCCCCACTGTGAGTTCATTTCATGTCTCCGTTTCTGGGTGGCATCCCAGAGTACATCCCAGTCCTGTTTTCTCATTGTCCTGAGGAGGAAACGGAGGTTCCAGCAGGTGGTTTCCTGGGTTCAGTTATCTTTCTTAAGAATAGAGGGGGGACTAGAATTCAGAGCCTCTGACTCAAATTTTAAAACTTTCTCTTCAACACTACAAACAGTAACCAATGACATTAGGATAGTTTGGGTGTTTTCTTAACAACTTACTGTTGACAGTGAAAACAAAGAAAATCAAGATTTTCTACATGTTCTATACATATTTTTCTATAGCCAGTCTCTAAATAGATGGTGATGACATCTAGAACGTTTCTCCTCCACAAGAGTTTATCTAATAGCAGCTAAACATGAACCGATGGCATGTCCCCTGGCATGGACAGAGGGAGCTTGCTCTCTCCTCAGCTCTTCAGAGGATCTTCCACCCACATCTGCCCTCTTGTGGTTGAAGCAGAACACAGTTCCGGAAAGTGCTGGGAGCTTGAGTCGAGTTTATCTCCATTAGGCTCTATGGGTTTCTCAACTCTGCTGTTAGGATGACGTTTTCTGCCCTCAGAGGTCTCCTAGAATGTCAATACCTGAGCCATCCCTGAGCCGGAAGCCACTCAGGCACCACCCCCCTCCTCTGGGTGCCTGGTGTCCTCATGATGGCCTCAGGAGGTGCCCCATCCCGGTTCCCCGCAAGGGCATCCTCCCCTGACACTCACAGCCTTCAGGTCCCCTATAGAGAGATGACTGGTTAGTCTGGTAAACCCACCAGGCTAAGATCTTCGTGATGGTTGGTGGAGGGAAGTTCCAACTGCCCCAGTCCACCTCAGGCCTCCGGAATCAGAAGGCCTTAAGAAAGTGTGAGTTGCCCTAGCCAGTTTGGCTCAGTGGATAGAGCACTGACCTGAGGACTGAAGGGTCTCTGGTTTGATTCCCAGTCAAGGCATGTACCTCGGTTGCAGGCCCGATCCCCGGCCCTGGTTGGAGCATATGCGGGAGGCAACCAATCAATGTGTCTCTCTCACATCAATGTTTCTCTCTCTCTGTCTCTCCTCTACCTTCCATTCTCTCTCTCTCTCTAAAAAAAAAAAAAAAAGTGTGAGTAGCCGAGCAATAGCAAACCCCTTGCTAGCCAATGGGTGCGTTCTTTCAGAAACTTGACCACTTTGGCACACCCTCAGTACCAGCCTGCAAGCGATGTCCAGAGCCACTTCCAGAGTGGCTCCTAAAGGTCCACTCGTCCTATGAGGGAAGATTACATGACAAGAGCCACTTTCCAGGATTTAAACGGGGTCCATCTACAGCTCTTTTATTTCATCCCAGTGACCTGCCTCACCTCCGGTCCTCCCACCAGAGCCACCGCTGGTGACTGACCAGCCTTGATAGATGCAAAACCCAAACATCCCACTTCAGACACTCACTTTGAAACTTCTCGCATTGCTTTTGGGAATTGTAATTGTAAACCATTAAGAGAAGAAATATTAAAGCATCTTAATGTGATTATAGCGTTATGGGCCTGACTTCATGCCCTTCTCTCTGGGGGCACCCCTGGACCATTTTCAGGAATCTTGACCTGTATTTCAATTTTTTTATGTCCAGGTGTTAAAGTAAATGCTAAGCATTTTTCCTTTCTGGTTTTGAGGACCAGATGCCCTCAAATGACTTTTGAGTTTTTCTTTCCCAAAAGGCCATTGAGTTCCAAGCTCCGGCCCTCACTCCATCTGTCTTCTGAAGCAGAGGCAGATAACCACACCGCCTGGCCCAGCTGTCCCCAATGAACTGGTTGGCCAAGCACAGAGGTTAAAATCCTTGAATTTCTGGCTTTTGGTATTTGACCAAGGGTTGCTGCCTCTTCCTAGAGGGACATAAAATCTGTTATTTTCAGGACAGAAGTATGTATACGTGTGTATATCTCTCATGCAATTTACAATGGGTTTTTAAAGAGTTATATATAGATTCCTTCATGGGACTCTTCTTTGAAAT